TATGAAGAAGGAACTGGAGTTAATTACCTGGAAGAAGTGGGGGTGGAGGATGGGGCATTCCAGACAGGTAGAGAGAGACAGAGACAGAGAGGGAGAAACAAGAGAGGGAGACAGCTCAGCTAGCAGGAGCTCGGCAAGGAGTAGCACTCATTAAGTGTTTATTCCTTCCCTCAGCACACAGAGACGAGCAGGAGGACTGCCTGGAATGTCCCCTGACCTCTCCAGCTCTCCCAGGAGGTGGCTTTGGTGACCTGAGCCTGTAAGTAAAACTCCTAACAGGAATAAAGCAAAGGCTCAGCTCTGCTCCGCTCAAGGTGAAAGGAAGCTGGACATGGCCCTCCTCTTGTCTTCCCCACCCTCTTCCTCTTCAGAACTGACCACACATGTCAAAGACAGAACCTGCCTTGTAGAATAAGATGGAGGATTTTCATTACCTGAGAGGAGACCAAACACTCCCATATGTTCCCTAGGATAATCTGTCATGGGGATTTGTTCTTATCTAATCTACTATGTATTATTCTTATAGGACATAGAGATGACATCTTTGCGATGATCAGTTGCCTGCAGCGGGATCTTGTCTATAATCACAGAAACAGGTGAAGGGAGACAGGAAATGGAACAAAGGAGGATTTCAGCTGACATTTGAAGTAATAACGAGGGTCAAGGTCAAAGAGGAGGAGATGATAAATGGGAAAAGATGCCAGTGGGGTCATGAAACCTTCCTGAGATTGGGGAGGGAGCCCCTCCATCGGATATGGTGAAAGAACACTCACAGCACATCACGCAATGAAAGAGCTTGAGAGATGAGTTTGGACAGAGTTAATTCCACATTGACCTTCTGACGATGTCGTGGTGCCATTGGTTCTCCTGGTCTTATGTTAGCCTTTATCCACCAGGAGCTCCGCCTTCTCCTCCCAGGCTTGGAATGGAACCTTCTGGGCCCTTCTCAACCTCAACTGCCTCTTCTCTGCCCTCCCTCACAGCCCTCCCATGGTGCCCTCTGGTGTTCTGTGCATAAGCCTGAGGTCTGTGAGGTGCCTCCTTGCACATGGAGTGCGCTTGGTAAATGTGGGTTGAAGAAAGAAAAGGATGGATGACAACCATTCATGTTCAGGGAATGCTTGTGAAGTAACAAGTGCCCTCTAAGCAAAATTGATGGTTATTGTCAGTTATTGATGGTTATTGATGGTTACTGCTGGGGTGACAGTTAAAGTACCTTTGAGGTGGAATCAATAATTTCATTTTCCCTCCAGAGATGCCCATGCGCATGCCTGCAACTTCTAAGACAGGAGGCTGTAGTTGCGTCGTATTCCAGGTGGAGCAGCAGCAAAAACAGACCAGGTTGTAACTTAGCATCAGCAAATTCCCAGTGCCCTTTCTTAAGAGGCAGATACTTGGATCCATCCAGAATTGATTAGTTTTTTCCCAACAGGCCACCCATGGACATGGCTTACATAGCAGTAAAAATAAAAATTCCGGCATTTGTTTCAGACAGAGCACTTTTGTGAGTTCATGACTGCACAAACAGAGATCCAGAGCACGTGACCCTACATAAGTTCTCCCCACGTGGCCACGATAGACCTCATCACTGTCTCCTGAGAGGCACGCTCCCAGGCCCCACGGAGCACAGAGTGAGGCGCTCTCTCATGCCCACCTGTCCACCTTCACCCTTCTGAGTTGGACTTCAGGACAATGTTGCTTCAGAGGAGCTGGTGGTCAAGGGGAGACCAAGAAAAGAACAGGCTGGCAGTGCCCTTGAGGATCCTGGATCTGTCTCTTGCTTCAACGGTGTCTGGACAGGACAGACCCAGGGACGCCCCTTCTCCAGCCTCCAAACACTCTCCTGTGCCTTATCCAGTCACCACCCTCAGAATCCCTCCGGGACCAGCCAACACACCAGTTTTGGGTGTTGTTTGTTTGTTTGTTTTGTTTTTTCTTCCTTAACTCCTTATTGCTGAACAACCATGAGCTCCCAAATTTGTCAGAGTTATTCCACCGAGGAGAAGGCTGTGGTCAACCACCTGGCCAACCTGCATCTGCGAGCTTCCTACCCCTCCTCTCTCTGGGCTTCTATTTTGACCTTGACGATGTGGCTCTGGAGGGTGTGGACCACTTCTTTCCTGAGTTGGCGGAGAAGAAGAGCATCTCTTAAAGTAGCAAAACAAGCGTGGCAGCCGCATTCTCTTCCAGGAAGTGCTGAAGCTTTCCCAAGATGAGGGGACAAAACTCAGGATGCCAGGGAGGCCGCCCTGGCCGTGGAGAGGGACCTGACCAAGCCCTTTAGGAGCTGCAGGCTCTGGGTTCTACCTGGGCAGACCCTCAGCTCTGTGACTTCCTGAGAACCACTTCCTGGCTGAGGAGGTGAAACTGATCAAGAAGATGGGCGACACCTGACTCACATCCCAGGCTGCCGGCCCCCAGGCTGGGCGAGCATCTCTTTGAAAGGCTCACCCTCAAGCACGACCAGGAGCCTTTGGGGCCCAGGGGCCTTCCAGATGCCCCTCTGTATCTCCCTGGTATCTCTGGCTTTTATCTGAGCCTCTCCCAGAAACTACTAGCCATTCTTTCAACCACCCTGGAGCCCTCTCCCACACACTGGACCAAATGAAAAACTAAAGCTTTTTGTAGAAAAGGAGAAAAGAACAGGCTGCCAGAGAGCCGCTGGCCAGAGAGCCACATCCTGGCACACACTCACAGCCACAGCGTGGGGAGCTCCAGGTTAGTGCAGCAAAACATGTTCTGTGTTGCACAGCCAGCCTCGCGTGCTGGGAAAGGATGGCCCTCAGCCCCTGTGGCTGGATCCTTCAAACAAGAAGGAACAGAGGGACCAGGGTCCAGAGGCCAAGACCATGAGGGTGGGATGAAGGCTGGTCCTCAGAGGTCACATCCCAGCAAGTGTGAGAAGACAGGTGACACCAAAGCAATAGTTCTTATGTGATCAGAGTGCTGAGCCTCCTCAGTAGCAGGTACACACACTCAAAAGCCCCAACACTCGGGTGCTTACATACTGGAACTTGACCTGTTTTCTATATCCAGATCTAGTTTCTGTCACACACGCCCCAGGTGGCCAGATGGCAGGAAAGGTGGGCCACTCCAGTGGCTTCTCCATTCACCCTCCTCATCCCAAACCCCCTACCCCCTTTCTCCTGAAGTTAACCACACTCTGGAAGATGTAGGTGGCAGCATCTTCATGGGAAGGTATCCCTCAGGGTTCCTTGTTCTTCAGCCCCTCTCCAACGGACCAAAAGCTGACCTTAGGCAGAGGAGAGGGAGACAACAGGAGCCTCTCTCACACAACACTCAGTGGAAGAGAAAAAAAATGGTGTCTCTAGACCAGACAGACAAAGGATGATGCCCTAACCATTCCCAGGAAATGTTTTTCATCTGTAAGTTACTTACTAGTCCTTATTGGTTCTTCTAGTTCAGTGGCTTTTAAACTATAATCCAGGAAGATTCGTGTGTGTGTGTGTGTGTGTGTGTGTGTGTGTGTGTGTGTGTATGCACATATGGTGGGGAGGAGATAGCAGCTAGCCCATTTTTAGGCCTTTAACTTCTCCATCTCTGCCTTTGGGACCATGCTAAGCTACGGGGCTATTAGTGAAACCAGTGATTTATGTGTCTGTTTCGGTGACTACAAAGTAATAACTCACTCATCAATGGAAAAGTCTCAAAAGCTGACTCAGTTTGGAGCATTCTTTAGATATCACTGGAGACCAACATAATAATGGGCGGAGATAATGGTGAAGCCACTTCCAATGATTAGATTGAACAGGGTGAAATGATACCACGTAATGATATCATTATAGACGAAATGAGACCATGTCTGGGATTAGTTTCAAAATAACATGAGAAGGGAAGAAATGGGTGTGAGCCGAAGCAAGACTGGCCCTGAGTCAACAGTTGATGAAGTTGGAAGATGAGTACAGTGGGGCTCATTCTACCAGTCTGTCTAGCTTGCAATATGTTTAAATATTTCTGTGGTAAAAAATTAAAATTATTCAAGAGAAAAATAAAGCATTCTTTATATTTAGGAGCATGTGAAACACAAGTATTCTCTCTTTGGCTAACATTTTTCTCAGCCTGCTATTGTCCCTTTTTGAAAAAAAAACTTGCTCTGACTAACCTATGTGCTTAAACACGATATTCAACCATGGCTACTATTCTCTGAACACCTGCCATTGACCAGCGTGTGCTGGATATCCTCACGTGCATTAGCTCAGATGCTCCAGGCACCCCTGAGAATGTGGGCACTGAGGTTCAAGTCTGCCAAGTTAAGTTCCCCTAGATCATGTCGCTGCTGGTGATGGACACAGATTTTAGCTTTCAAAGCCATTAAATTAAGTGTTAGATGGTGAAATATATGTTTATCATTCAAAGTTAGCCTTGGAAGAAAGCTTTCCTTGAAAAGGCAGAAATGTCTGTGGAGGCATCGCAGACAACATCAGTCAGAGGGCTGTGCTCTGAGGAACCTGGTGGACCCTAACTTGCCGGGTGTACAGGGAAGCTAATTGGGGAGCGGGAGCCCACACTGCTTTGGCAGCTGCTATCGATTCCAGATTTTCATCCTTCCATGCCAAGGCTCACATTTCTTCTACTAAAGCCATAAAAATGAACTTTCAGTACCCAGACTGCGGGGAAAAAATAAGCAAAACTATCTATATTTGCAGGTGATCTAATCTCATATATGGAAAATTCTAAGAAATCCACTAAAAATAAAAACGATGTGACCTAATAAATGAATTCAACATTTATTAGGTCTCATTGATAACAAGACTAAATAGAAAAACCAATTGTATTTTTATACACTTGCAATAAACAACCTCAAAAAGGAAGTGAAGAAAACAGATCCATACTATTCAGCCAAAAAAAAAAAAAAAAAAGAGAGAGAGAGAGAGAGAGAGAGAGAGAGAGAGAGAGAGAGAAAGAAAGAGAGAGAGAGAGAAAGAAAAAAAGAAAGAGATGAAGTATTGCCATTTGAACATAATAATGTATTTTCTTACCATTTGCCTTCGATTCTCCACCAGGTTGATGCCAATAATTCCTAAGAAAGATCCAAAGCCCAGCTGAGAGCAAGGGGAAAACAAGGAGAAAGCACCCAGTTAGCACGCCTGGTGGCTTGATGCTGACTTTTAACAGTACAGAGTGCACAGGAGACTGCTGCCCATAACATCTTATCAAAGGGCCAAGGCAAGCCACTTCTCTGAGTTCTGACCACTAAGTGGCAGATGGATCCATGTACATTTGGGTGGGCTCCTCAGGCTCGATGGAAGCTGGTGATTGGAATAGAAACTTCGGAGTCATGATCCATCTCTTCTTTTTTTTAAATCTTTATTGTTGAAAGAATTACATATGTCCCCCCTTCTTCCCCATTAACCTCTTCTACCCCTCCCCTGCTCCATACCCCAGGCCTTCACCACCCTAGTGTCCATGGGTTATGCATATATGCATACAAGTTCTTCCGTTGACCTCTTCCCACCCACCCTCCCCTGCCTGCCTTCTGAAGTTCCACAGTCTGTTTCATGCTCCTGTGTCTCTCATTCTATTTTGTTCACCAGTTAATTTTGTTCATTATATCCCACATATGAGTGAGATCATATGATACTTGTCTTTCTCTGATCGGCTTATGTCACTTAGCATAATACTCTCCAGGTCCATCCATGCTATTGTAAATGGTAGGAGTTCTTTCTTTTTTACAGTGCATAGCATACCATTGTATAGATTTACCACAGCTTTTTTATCCACTCCTCTGTTGGTGGGCACTTGGGCTGTTTCCAAATCTTAACTATTGTAAATTGCACTGCAATGAGCATAGGGGTGCATATATTTTCTCTGATTGGTGTTTCTGATTTCTTGGGATATTCCTAGAAGTGGGACCACTGGATCCATCTCATCTTTCATGTTCAAACATTTTAACTCTTAGGTCAGGAAGAGATTACAGGAAAAGATAGCATTGTGTGCCCCCTTTTCCTCTCATGAAGGACAACCTCTTTATGGTAGCCCAGACCACTCACAGCTCATCTTCTGCATCTGGGCTTCACGTGAGAGGCCCACCTGATATTTCTACTGGGCCTGTCTCAAGTCCCGTAGTCAGAGAAGGACTCCTCCAGTAAGATATCAGGAAACTAGAACTATGGGTGTTTCAGAAGAAGGGTTACCCATCATCTGTGGACATGGCTGACACCACTCACAGATACGCTTTTGACTCAGATGAGCAGACAAGCAGATGACCTTGGGGAAGAAGAGAGGGAGAAGGGGGGAGGGTGCCTAGAGGCTCCTGAGAATCAGTTGTAATCATCCATCAAGACTTCTTGGCAGGTATCTTTTAAAACTACATGTCCGTTTTCTGAGGACTAGTTCAGTCAGCATGGTCTCACGGAGCTAAAATCTGAGCTGGTTGCTTCTGGAAACTCTGTGGGAGAATCTGGCCATGCCTTTCCCATGTCCAGAGCTGATGCACTCCTTGGCTCATGGCCCTTCATCCATCATCAACTTCTCCCATCACACGGCTGAGGCCTCTCCTGTGCCCTCCCCCACTTCTAAGGACCCCGTGCTAACACTGGCCACCTGGGTGATGCAGGATCATCGTCCACACCCTGGACCCCCGTTGCTGTGTAGCCCACCACATTCACAAGGAATAGGACCCAGGATCCTTTGAGGTCATCATTCTGCCAACAATAACCACCAAAACAGGTTTCCAAGCCCTAAACCTCCAGCTCTGGGGGGCTGGAGCGAAGTGTGTCACCACCACACAGACATCTGTGGTGCCCAGTGCCCCCCCTCAGACCCTGGGCCCGTCACTCACAATGATCCCTGGGTAGTAGCCCCCCACGGTCACATTCTCCGTCCTGGTGGTGGCAGCGAGGCCGATGGTCAGGATGAAGACAGACACCACAAGCAGTGACCCCACAAACCAGAGGGAAGTCTTCTTTCTTCTCCCAAACCCTTCTGGGAGAAGGATAAACAAGGAAGCTGTTAGTAAGGGGCAGGCTCCGAGGGGGGGTCCTAGGAAACATGAGCGCATTCGGTGTCTGCATTTGTCTCTGAGTCCTAAAGGCTCTGGAAGACCTCTCTGTCCTAAAGCCATCGGTGCATGCCCACTGCTCTCTCCTTTGTCAGGGCCCACCTCAGGGGCACTGAAGCTTAACCATCTCAATTCTTATAACCCCACAAAACAGGAAATGAAAGAAACACATGGGCCAAAACCGGTTTGGCTCAGTAGATAGAGCATCCGCCTGCGGACTGAAAGGTCCCAGGTTCGATTCCAGTAAAGGGCATGTACCTTGGTTGTGGGCACATCCCCAGTAGAGGGTGTGCAAGAGGCAGTTGATCGATGATTCTCTCTCTCATCGATGTTTCTAACTCTCTATCCCTCTCTCTTCCTCTCTGTAAAAAAATGAATAAAATAAAAAAATAAAAATTATATAGATATAGATATAGATATAGATATAGATATAGATATAGATATAGATATAGATATAGATATAGATATAGATATAGATATAGATATAGATATAGATATAGATATAGATATAGATATATCACATGGTGTTTTCTTCTGGTGCCAAAGGTGTCTAAACACACACACTCATGTTTTTAATGGGGAAAACAACTTAATATCTGATTGCAACAACTAGCTCAGATGACCCCTGAATTGCAGACATTGTTCCCATTATAAGGAAGGGGTGGGAAAACTTTTTTTCTGAAAGGGCCATTTGGATATTTATAACATCATTTGCAGCCCATATAAAAGTTATCAACTTAAAAATTAGCCTGCTACATTTGGTCAAACATTTAATTAACTCACCCCTAATGCCTTGGCAGGGCCAGACCAAGTGATTTCTCGGGCCTTACACAGCCCGAGCCTGTATTCCCGATCCCTGGCTCTAGAAGGTTTGCCTCCAAAGATTTGCACTTCTGCAGTCCTAACAGCAAAGTTTAAGGTTAAGTCAAGGTTAGAACACCCAAGAACAGATTGCACGAAACTGTAAATCGATGTGAACATTCAGAAAAACTTAGCTCAACTGAGTCCACACACTTATCCCTACTGTTGTATATGTGGGTTGTTTCTAATTTGTTATTATTAAAATACAATGTGGAGCACAGGGGATTTGACAGCAGTGAAACTGTTCTGAAAGATACTATACATGTCATAAATTTGTCCAAAACGGCAGAATGTACAACACCAAGAGTGAGCCCTAATGTGCACTATGGATTCTGGTGATAATGATGTGTCAATGACTCATTGATTGTAACAAATGTTGATAATGGGGGAGGCTGTGCATATGAGGGAACAGGGGCATATGGGAATTCTCTGTATCTTCCCCTCAATTTTGCTATAAACCTAAAACTGCTCCAAAAAATTAAATACAGTTTTTAAAAAAACACAATATGATAAACACCATTTTAGGATAAATTTCTACACAGGAAATTTTAGGGCAAGAAAGCAAAATAGTTTTAAGGACAAAGTAAAAGTTTTAAAGTAAAATTTAACTTTACAAAGCAGAAGATAGTCCTACAGTCCTTGTACAAGCTTTGGAAAGAATTCTCTGTGGCTCCACAGAATCCTTCGTTTACAAGCAAGAGAAGTGTATATGGCTTTATCTGATTATTGTTAAATTGCTGTTCTCATTGTTGTTTTCTAGTAGTTTTTATTGCAAATATGGAATTGTTGAAGGTGACACATGTGTGGGAGTGTTCCATGGGAAAACACAGCCACAAGTGCAAGCAGACACTCGATGTCTTTGGGACACTGCCTTTGCATCTGCTCTGGGAGTTCCCTAGAGTGGACTTCCCCTTGACTAACATTTATAACATCTTACTTGCAAAGAAGGGTGCGTGCAGATAGAATGACCCTGTTTTCTTGCATTTGTTTAAAACCTGAAACCAGGGCCACCTGTACAAGGTAGTGTGCTGGAAGTCAGATAGATGGGCAGTTCCGAGAATGGTGGCAGCAGATGTGGGGCGTCTGTGGGAAAACAGAGGCCTGAAATGGCAATGCCACTTTGAGAACAAGTGGCCAATAGAGAAAGCAAAAGAAGGAAACCTCCCCAGGGGTGAAATTCTGCTCTGGATTATTAATTTTAGAACGATAAGAACATTAAAAAAAAAAAAAAAAAGGACACAAAAGTTAAAAATATATATGCCAACTGGTGTGGCTCAGCAATTGAGTATTGGCCCAGGAACCAAGAGGTCACTGATTTGATTCCTGGTCAGGGCACATGCCAGTGTTGCAGGCTTGGTCCCCAGCACAGGCCGGGGGGATAGGGAGGAGGTGCAAGAGGCAGCTGATCGATGATATTTCTCCCTCGTTGATGTTTCTATCTCTCTATCCCTCGCCCTTCCCCTCTCTCTCTAAAAATCAATAAAAACGTGGGTTTTTTTAAAGTTAAAAATATATCTTCTACATTTTGGAGGTTAATGTAATTGTTCTTGTGGACGTTCATAAAATAATCATATTAACGATAACAATACTACCTCGTAACTGGGTAGCAACTGCGGCTTTTCTCTTACTCTCTTTGTCTCATTCAATGAAGATGAGAGGATTAATCTCTCCTATTCCCATGCTTCCCTTCCCAGCCTCCACTTATCTGTGAACAGAGCCACATGCTGATGGCTTTTAATTGGTGCACTTTCCTCTTCAGCTATTCTTCCTTGACTATTTTTCCCCTTAGTTTCCCATTTTAATGTTGTGATGGTTAAAATGTGATTCAAGACCCATAGGACTTGTAAACTAAATTCTACGGGACTAAGTATTGGAGAAAATTCTCAGACAAATGCCCTCCTCCTCAAAGGATTTTGTTTTGCTAGTTTTCTTAAATAAGTGCTTTGCATGTCTGTTATGCCCAAAGTAATTCGCTAGGTGCCTCAGCATTTACTTCAAACCACAGTGATAACCTTCTCTGTGCCTCATCTCTTAGCTCCCTTAGGAGTCTGTCTGCAGAAGCCTCTTGATGATATCCTGGTTCTTCAAGTTTGTAATTCTGTTTCTTATTCATCCCTTCAGAGATGCTGGCCTGATGATCAGATCCACTAAGCTAGCAGCGTTTGGTCAGCGCTTGTCATATTGATTAGTGACATCCTGACTTCTAATCACAGAGTAAAATGTTAAACACAACTCTGAGCTCGTGAAAATCTTCCCATGAGTCTTTTTCAATATAACTTTACTATTTCACCACTTTTTCCCAAGTTGGACTCTTCCTCTGAAGCGGCTACATGATAAAAAGCAGAAGGTGTAAGCTATCCCCTTTTATCAGCATTTCTATCACAGGTTCCCAGGTTCATACCAGGCTGGGAAAGAGAGCCAGCATAATTCATATGGGACGCTGGGGACAAATGGTTCTGACAATCTTCTATTCACACCTAATGTCACGTGTTGACTCCAGGTACAACAGAGCTAACAAAAAGAAAAATTGTGACCTTATTCTTTATAAATATAGGATAGTGCAAAAAAAAAATAATCAAAATATTAATTCAAGAAAGGTAAGAATAGGTTGAGATTGCCTTATAATTACCATAAGAAAGATGCATTTTTATCTTTCTTTTTTATTGATTTTTTACAGAGAGGAAGGGAGAGAAATAGAGAGCTAGAAACGTCAATGGGAGAGAAACATCAACCAGCTGCCTCTTGCACACACCCTACTGGGGATGTGCCCGCAACCAACATACATTTCCCTGACCAGAATCGAACCTGGGACCTTTCAGTCCGCAGACCGACGCTCTACCACTGAGCCAAACCGATTTCGGTGACAGATGCATTTTTAGATCAGATTTTGGAGAGAAAGGAGATTTTGAATTGGAGAAAGACAACTAGAATTACCTGAATTGTTCCCTAGATTCCCCTATCCCATTAGCAAAACTATTATTATGTGCATTGCTACAATTAAAGCACTCTGAAGACAGTGCCTGTGAACTAAAATACCTACTATTAGGTGTGTAACTGTGGTGACAGCTTACACAGACCAGTTGTGTGATCTTAGGCAGCCAGCCACCCTCTCTGAGCCCAGCCGAAGGAGAAATCCATGAAAGCAGGGGCTGTGTCTGTCTTGTTGTGTGCTGGACTCCAGGGCGAGCTCCCCCTAGGAGACAGCATGTTTCCTCATACTGGATGATCTGTGAGGTTGAGGTAATAATAACCACCTACTTTGCCCACCTCATAAGACTGTTACGAGGATCCAGTGAGAGCATATATGTGAAAGGTCCTTATATATTTATATGAGTGTAATGAATATATTAATCATGGCATTAATAAATATATTAATCATGGTAGTGTTAATGTTAAGATGGCATAGCACTTGTTCTTAACCAGTGTTTCTCCAATTGGGAGCTGAGGGGAGAATTTCTGACCTGTGTCACTGAATGGGCCAACAGCTACATCTCACCTGTCTTGATCACTGTTTTTCCAAACTCCAGACTGTCCCCTGTGCGTCCTATCTAGAATATCTCAGAATATCACCTTGTCACTCCTCAGTTCTCTTGCCCCTACCTGTCCCTACACCCAGCCTTGGCCAGAATTGCCAAACCACGGCTCCTGTGACAACCTGGTCTGGTCTGGAAGAAGTGCAAGGCTGGGGGCCGGGAAGTGGGAGAACAGAATCTGTCTCTGTCACAGCACTTTCTTCACTTAGTAAAGCCAAGAAGGGAGGGGGGTCTCATAAAGACTTTGCGGGGTGAGTAGGGGGGGTGTTCAAAGTCATGGCCTATGTGCTGGCAGGGCCCAGGCCTCCCCGAATGAGTTCTTTTAATCATGGGGGGATACCCAGTTGTGGAGATGAAGTGACAGTCCCTGGGAAAGTAGACCAAGGCAGAATGATACACCCCCAGCCATCAATCTCCCCCCTTTTTTCTTTCTTTCTGATTTTACTGTAATATGTGCCCAAGATGGTGAACACAGAAATGTAAGAAAGAAAATACCCATAATCCCACCCAGCTATACTAAGGTTTTGTGTTTTGACATAAAAGACCAACTCCTAGTGTTTCTTAAAATTTATAATTCTTCCTCACAAGAAAAAAAAAGTCAAATGCTATTTTTAAACCATCAAGTCATTCTAGTATAATAATATATAATAACTAGTTAATAACACAAAGCTATTAATAACTAATTCATTTCCTGGAGGATGAAAACGAATGTACATAAGTTTTGCAATAGAGTATTTTGCTTTAGAGAGTGGGGGGAAATAGAATTGTTTCTTTGAAGAAGAAGCCGGAGTCCTTGACTATTATTTAAAAATCAAACAACATTTCTAATCTGGTTTTTAAAAAAGAGATTTTCCATAGATATCCCAAACACGATTATGAGGTTAAAAACCTATCGCTTTCAATGGGATCATTTCTGAAGCAAGGGGCAGGGCCCCAGGAGACCGCCCACGGCCCCTCACTGCAGCTGTCAGAGCATCCCTCACTGTGCAACATTTCCCCCTTATTTTCAAAATCTTCTCTGCCCTCTTCCCTCCGGGAAAACACATTCAACATGACCCCCTATGGGTCACTTCCCAGTGGAGAACCTAGGCCAGTTCCCCAACTTGCGATGTGCAACAGGTTTCCTGCCTTCCCGCTCACGCCTGCCTTCCAGGCTGCACCGGTCTTGATTCCAGAAATCAAAGGATTAGAGATTCTGAGGATCGGTGGGGTGGAAGTCTGTGGGAGGGCGCATTGGAATGGAGAAGAAAAAAGAAGAAAAGAAAAAAGCGGTGCCTCTGTCGCTTTCAAGCAAGAAGAAGCTGCCGGGCTCCTGGGAAGGACCGGGAAGACATGCTGAGAGGCTGAAACAGCGTAGAGAGGGAGAGGAGGGCAGTGTGGGTGGTCCATTGTTCCTGATGAAAGATAGTAGGGAGAGACAGTGGGAGACGCACAGAAAGAGCCGGAATAGAGAGACTATGAATGAAGAGGGGCCTGCGCGGGTGCCAGGGTCCCGCGGCTAACGGGGCGGGAAGGACGGGACCTGCGCTCCCCGGGGGGCTGGGGCCGGCGGGAGCCTTGGAGGATGCTCGGGCCGCTCACCTGTGGTGTCCAGCAGGGCCAGGGGCCCGGGCACCGGCAGCGGGGGCGGCTGCATCCCCGGCTGCTCCTCGGGGTTGGCTCTCCCAAGGCGACAGCGACGGTGGAGGTGCTGCGCGGTGGCTGGAGCTCTGCCGGCCCTGAGCGCCGCCCTGCTCTGTCTGTCCGAGTCTGTGGGCTCCCTTCCCACCTGCTCCCCGCCCCTTCCTGGGTCCCCTCCTTTCTCCTCTCCCCCCGCCCTCCTCCTTCCCCCTTTCTCCCCAGGTCTCCTCCTCTCACCCTCTTCGCCTTCTCCTCTGGCCCCAGCCTCCAGCCCCCTCTAGCTTTCTCGGAAATTAGACCCTCGCCAAAACCGGTTTGGCTCAGTGGATAGAGCTTCGGCCTGCGGAATGAAGGGTCCCAGGTTCCATTCTGGCCAAGGCCATGTACCTTGGTTGCGGGGCATCCCCAGTGGGGGGTATGCAAGAGGCAGCTGATCTGTTTCTAACTCTCTATCCCTCTCTTCCGAAGGAAGGAAGGAAGAAGGAAGGAAGGAAGGAAGGAAGGAAGGAAGGAAGGAAGGAAGGAAGGAAGGAAGGAAGGAAGGAAGGAAGGAAGGAAGGAAGGAATCATACCCTCCAGCTGGGACGCCAGGGTGCCAGGAGCCGGAGACAGACCGAGGGTAGAGCACACTTGTGGATTTCTGGCCTGTGTGCCCACCCCTGGGGCCAGGAGAAGTAAATTCAGAAGTGAGTGGTTGTCATGGAGATGCCCACTTGTCCGGATTGAATAACTGGTAACATTTTAAGATGCAGAAACTGAAGCTCCAGGTAAGTAGCCCAAGGCTACACAGCTGGTAAGCAGCAGAGCCCAGAAACCCAGGCAGGCCAGCCCAGCTCACGCCCACCCCCCTGGGCACAGACTGTTCCAGAAGCGGGAGGGGCTCCCAAAGGCTTACTGAAAATATGTTTTTAAAATGTGTGTATCGCCAGGAATGATATCCTTTTCCAACGAATACATTTGTCATAGAAAATCTCAGATGCAAACTTGAAGGAGCAAGGTTTTGAAAATGTGTTTTGGGCTAATGAGCCACGAATCTCATTCTAAAGGGCCGTGGCAGGTATAAGTGTGCCCCAAAAGTTCAGTGGCCCTGCCTCACCTACATCCCCTCATCCTCCAACAATCTCAGGATCATTCCTCTTTCACAGGTGAGGAAACGGAGGGTCCAAGGGGTTAACTGGTGTGACCAAGAGCAGATCCAGAATTCCTACAAAGCCTGCGAGTTTAATTATCGAAAGGGACATCAGTTAGAATTTACTCCTTAGAACCCCTCCCTGCCCCACGTGTGTGAGGTGCGTTGGTGCCAGTTATACCAGTTGACAGCTGGTATTGCACACTGCCTCGGGCCGACACCGGAGGCCTGTAGCAGACTGAACTCTGCAAGGAGCAATAGTCTGGGACCAGGTTATTTTTAAAATGTAATGTAATTTAGTTCTTACAAAGGCAATTATGAGAAGAGGAGGAAATCTGTCTTATACTAGTCTGAGGATAATCAGAGGGACTGAACAAATTATTATTGACATGAAGATAACCTATTAACACAGTTATGATAAATATCTGCTGTCCTCCTTAATACCAAATTCCTCCTGCTTAGAGTAAATGTTTAAAATACCCTACAGTGTCCAAAACCGGTTTGGCTCAGTGGATAGAGCATTGACCTGTAGACTGAAAGGTCCCGGGTTCGATTCCAGTCAAGGGCATGTATCTTAGTTGTGGGCATATCCCCAGTAGAGGGTATGCAAGAGGCAGCTGATTGATGATTCTCTTTCATCGATGTTTCTAACTCTCTATCCCTCTCTCTTCCTCTCTGTAAAAAAATCAATAAAATATATTTTTTTAATAAAATAAAATACCCTACAGTGTCCGACCTTGACTGCCCTTACATGAACACAGGTCCCAGCCAGCCCCAGAAACAACAGTCTCCTCAGAGGCTCTCACCCGGAGGCACTTGTCTAATAGGAATGAGGGTGGGACTGCCCTGTGCCTACTCTTGTGCACCTACTATGTCTCACACTGTGATTGCCACTGTTCAAATCCTGCCTTCTTTAAGCCATGCAGTATTATACCCATTTCACGGGTGAAGAAACTGAGGCAACAAGAACTTAAATAATTTTTCCAAAGTCAAGTAGCTGGTCAATGACAGAAACAAGATATAAAACAGGTCAGTATAATTTCAAAGCATAATTATATCTTCCAAATGGGAAAGAATGTATTAATATATCTGACTACAGACTTTTAGTTTAATTTTTAATTTATGCAATCAACATGTATTTACTGCATTTCCTCTATATGCAACATACTAAAAGAGCTGCAAAGATGAATCATACAGACATGCCCTTTAAGAAATTTATAAATAAAAGTGAAAAATAGGGGAAACAATGTACTACCTGTATATATAAAAGGCTAATATGCTAAGTGTCTGTCCAGGTAATGATGTCACATAGCAACGCCCAACTTCCTCTCCCTGGCAACTAGCCTCCTTGCAGTTTCTTCAGCCCAGGAGCATGGCTTGCTTTATAACCAGGTGGAAACATTTTGCACTGTAACCAAATGTCTGTGAAGCGTTTTTCCAGTGCCTCATCTCATTTGATCTTCACAGAAGTCCTGTAGTAGGTGGATCGGAGACTCAGTGGAATCCTACTTTCTTTTCAAAGCCAGAAAAAGAAGATTTAGAAAGCTTAGAAACTTGACCCGACTGGAAAAAAAGTAAGAAATGGTGGACCTTGAAAATGACTTTAGGTTTTCTCATTGTGCAAAATATGCCAAACACTGCTGCAGTTAAATATTTCACCCTTTGTTCTCCCTGCATGATCTACAATAATAATCTGCTTCGTGTTGATATTTACTGCTGTATTGCTGACAATTACCTGAAAGAGAAGTTGGGGTGCTTCACTGGACTGGAAAAAGTTTAGCTAAATCAGAAAGCAGTTTTAATTAAGCAAGTTTAATATATATATATGGCTAAGTTGATTTGTGCATGCATGATACCTACAAAGCTCTCACTGGCACCAATCACACGCATGTGTTTCCATCTGTCATTGTCAATTGTGAATTTAGTTGACACTTCTATTATAGAGAAAGGGTGAATAGTGATAGTAAAATATTTCTTCTAATTAATTTTCTTTCAATGTGCATGAGTTAATGCACCAGACCACTAACTATACTATAAAGAAGACAGTGATGATAGTATCTGTGAGTGCAATTACCTTATGAGAACACTACCAGCATCCCCCTGGGCATGGCCCTGCACGTGCAGAAACCAAGGCCTTTCTGGTGACCAGCACAGTGATCCTCAACCTTGCCTCCCACTGGCTCGGTGCTCAGGACACTTCAACCAGAGCCTCTGGAGGTGGGGAGCACTTGAGGTTCCCGAGTGGGTCTGTGATCAGCCAGGACTGAGAACCACTGCGTTCAGGACCGATAGGATGCTAAGGGAGAGAAGTGGAGGATAAGTGGTTCCAGGAAGAGATGGTGTTTGTTTCAGGCCTGGAGGATGGAGTTGGGGAGGGGTAGTGGTGGGTGGGAGGGTGGGAGGGGAATTCCGAGACTCTGGAGCAAAGTTGTGTCAGAGAGGTGGAAAATCCCATTAAATCTCACAATTCTGGGCCATAGGTCTCCTTGCATCCTGCTCACACCTGGTGGTATACTTTTCCCCGATGAAGGCCAGCGTGACCTGTTAATGTCCCTAGAGACCCGTCCAGCATGGAAGAGCTGATAGGAGAGGCTAGTTGCAACCCAGACTAATCTTCCCGAATCCCAGGTCAGTTCATTGTCTTTGTGGGCCCCACACAATCATGTCAGTGCACACACACACACACACACACACACACACACACACACACGTACACACAGGTTCCAGCCTAGACAGTGCTATGTCACAGTGGCAGATGAAGGATAGGGTGGGGAAGGAGGTATATCCAGCCATTAGTCTTCACCAGTTGCCCCCTATCTGCCCCTGAGCCCAGGCGGCTGTGGCCAGATGCCTCTGCATTCTCCCTGCCAGGTAAGAGGGTGGGGTCTGGGTGACCCTGTGCCCACTTCCCAGTCCTACTGCAGAAAGGCTGGCCTGGAAGCAGGGCACTGACCACTCTGGGCTCTGACTGACTTCTCCCTTCCCCTTCTGTCACTGCCCTCAGGTGTCTGGGTTTAGGCTTTCTAGAAGCCACAGCTTCCTCCCTACAGCCATGAATGTCATAGGCTCCAGCTTGAAGTGGGGGCCGAAGTAGAAGAGAATTTAGAACTCAGAATGATTATAAAAAAAAAAAAAAAAAAAAAAAAAACATAGAATCAACTATCCAAAAAGGGGATGCACACAGACTCTCTCAGTTGCCCCGGCCACTGCCGAGGCAGAAGCTGGCCAGGAGAGCTGACAGAGAGCCAGGGAAGGGCCTTCCCATGAACAGTAAGAACGAAAAGCTTTGCCCCTTTTGGATAAAAGCAGGTGTGAGGGGGTGGTGGGCAGGGATGGCCGCAACACTTACTCAGTTCTATTATGAAAATAAGTTCACTGAGAGCAGGGACTTGTGCCCTTTGGTCCCCTGCTTCAAACAGTGTCCAGCTCATGGCAGGCACTCAACAAAAATACATCAAAGGAAGACTGAATACACCGGATTCCCAAACACCACTTAGCACCTGCTCCCTGCCAGGTCCGGCCACATGCTGGGCACCTCGGCCCTCTCCCACCTGCAGCCTCACCTCCTCAGCCCCACAGGCTGGAGAACTCGTTGGAAGAGCCATCACTTTGGTTTGACTGATGAGAAAACTTGTTTATTTGAGCAGAGAGGGATCAACGGGCTCTCACAACAAGGACATGGGCTCTACCAAGAGAGGAATGAACGCCAAGGCCACCTTGGTCAGCCACAGGCATAGTTTGGTCCATCCAGTTTATTCCAGAGCCACGGGCCACGTGGTCCCTGGGCAGGTTCGAGTCATCACGGAAGTGTGTGTGTGTACACAGCCCGACCCTGGGCTCTCAAGGGTTAGTGGACCACAGAGAACAGAACATGACTCCTTCCTGTAACCAAATAGCCCCGAGAGGATGCTCAGGGGATGAATAATGCAGACAAGCAACGAGGGAAGCGACAGGTGGCCCCCGCCGGTCTGTCCACGCAGATGAGGTGGATGAGGCAGCAGAGACGAGACAGGAGATGTTCTCAGAGACATACATTTTTTAAATTAAAAACACTCTTGGGCTTTGCTAGAATGCCTTGTAACCATGATCTCCCGGATCCAGATCGCTCTAATGAGCCCAAGCAGGAAGGTTCCACTGTCCAAGACATCTCATGTTGCAAGTCAGACCTCCCATGACTCCTCGGAGCAAGAATGCCTTCCTCGTCTTGGATTTGCAATCACAGGCTTGCCCAGTGTCTCCTGTTTTAGCCCAACAACTGCCAAGGGCACGTCTCAGCAGCCCGGTGGTTGCCCTGTTGGAAGGAGAGAACCATGCCCCCTGCACACTCACCCCCCTTACCTACAGGCAGATTGAATACTGGGTCCAGGAGGGACAGATGCCCCAAGCTTCCCCAGAACTACAGGGACAGGACAGGAACCAGGACAATGAGTGCTCCCTCATCCAGGCCTGGGGAGGGGAGAAAGGGAAGGTCTGAAGCCAGGCTGCAGCGCTCCACACGTGTTTCCATTAAACCCCACCCCATGCATTCACCCTTAATAACCTGTATCCCTCCGCCCATGGATCTCACAAGTGAGAAGGTTGAACTTGGAAGAACATTTTCCTACTGTAACTGGGAAACTGAGGTTTGATTTTTATACACTCAAATCAAGCCTTCTTCTCTTCATTTTAAATTGTCTGGGCATTACCTCAGTGTCTATCTTTTTCATTTTTCAATTTGATGTTTTCAAATTGAGTTGGGTTTTTTTTTTCCTTCAAAACTGTTCTATCAGCTGGCAATATGTGTTTTGCTTCCCATTGAGGCCCACTGTGGGTCTGAACCTTCACCAGAGGGGAGGACCCTGCTATGAGATAAAGGGGGTGTGCCCAAACTTTCTTTTCTTTTCTTTTTTTTATTTATTGTTGATACTATTACAGATGCTCCCCAGTGCTTAGCCTTTCTAAGGCTCAGTCTGGCTGAGCTTATGTTAAGTAATTATATCTATAAAACTCTTGTTAGGCAGAAGCATGGTTACCTCTGGGCAGGGGAGCAGCAGGGAGGGGGCACAGGGCTAGGAGGTGTGCCAGTAGGGTCCTGGTTCTTGCACCTCTGGGGTTTTTCTAGGTGTCACAGTATCATCATTGACTGGGCATCCAGAATTTGTTTTCTCTATGTGAAATTTTGTTTTGAATGTGTGTATTTTTGTTTTTAAATAAATTTTTATTGATTTCAGAGAGGAAGGGAGAGGGAGAGAGAGAGAGAAGCATCAATGATGAGAGAGAATTATTGATCAGCTGCCTCCTGCACGCCCCACTCTGGGGATTGAGCCAGCACCCAGGCATTGTGCCCTGACTGGGAATCAAATCATGACCTCCTGGTTGACAGGTTGATGCTCAACCACTGAACCACACCGGCTGGGCTTAAAAGTTTTTTAAAAATAAAGTGATTTTTGATTGCCTATGTGTGAATACATGGGGCCACCCTGAGCTTGTGGGGGTGGGGAATAGAAAAAGAACACAACCGAACAGACTCAGAGACACAGCTAAAGTCACAAATAAGTTGCTTTTTGTCATTATAACCCAACAGACCTTTGAGTTCAATATAATAACTAACTACTTGTTCATAGGTTAAGTCACAGGCATGCAAGATTTAGCCAAAAATCGATGAACAATGTCTTAGTGTATGTCCTATGCAATAATTTGAGACATACACTTAAAAAATGACTTGTTATTTGTCTGAAGTTCAAATGTAACTGGCTGTGTTTTATCTAACCATAAGATAAAGGCCGAAAGGTCCTTGCTGGCAAATCTAGTACAACAACAGAAGGGTCCCCACCATCAGGCACCTGAGCCCCAGACAGCAGGTGGGGATGGTGGCCAGAGGGGTCAAGGGTCATCCTTCCACCCCCACCACTGAGGCTGCTTAAATCACCCTTCAGGGCCATGGGTACTTAGTTCAGAATAAATGTCTTCAGAAAAATCATAAATGGGTCTTTCTTGCACCAGAATGTAGTGAAGTGAAATTTACAGCCATTACCTTATCCGAATGTATTAGTCTATAAAACAAACAAGTCTCAGAAAGGGTACAGTGATTTATCCTGCCAACAGCTCAGTGTCCCTCCATCCCCGATCCCCCATCTTGGGCCTGCCCAGGGAAATGTACCAGGTGGTCATTTCAGATCACAGACCAGAAAGTACTAGATGCATCCTATGACTCTACACACCACGCCACAGCCAGGAGAGAAGGACGGTTCTGGTAGGGTTTATTTCACCAGTCTCAGGGTGCTGTAAAGTCTTCCTGTGCAGAAGGTAACTCTAAGGAACACACTTGAAATGTCTCCACAGAACTAGAGATTCTAAATCTAGCACTCATCTGGACCATACACACCTGCATACGGCTTGAGTCATCTTTCCTACACAGGCTCTAAGCCAGTGGTTCTCAACCTTTCTAATGCCACGACCCTTTAATACAGTTCCTCGTGTTGTGGTGGCCCCCAACCATAAAATTATTTTCGTTGCTACTTCATAACTTGAATAGTAATGTAAATATTTTGTTTTCCAATGGTCTTAGGCTCTACAGCAGTGGTTCTCAACCTGTGGGTTGCAACAAACAGGTTGAGAACCACTAGCAGGGTTGCCTTAGACCGTCAGAAAACACAGATATTTACATTACGATTCATAACGGTAGCAAAATTACAGGTATGAAGTAACAACAACAAAAATTATGATTGGGGGCCACTACATCATGAGGAACTGTATTAAAGGGCCATGGCATTAGAAAGGTTGAGAACCACTGCTAGAGAGCAAAAAGGAGGTAGTTGGGTCCTAGTTTTGGCCAGCAACCCTCCAAAGCCATTGATTGTCAAGATCCACTCCTTTCCTGAGGGTCAGGGGGTGCTGAGGGCATGACCCCAGGGTCCTGCCAGTGACCAGGTGGCAGGAGGAACAGAAGCTGGTGTGAAGGGGGACCAGTCCAGGCCTCTCTCACGGTGCCCCAAAGCCCAAGGGCTGTGGTTTGCCCTTGGACCAACCAAGAGAAGGCCTCCACCAAGGATGGGGCTCTTGGAAGTTGCAGTTAAGGTGCCAGGAAACCCAAACTGAGAGTCCTCTCCTCTGAGCAGCCATCTGCCCAGCTGCTCAACACTGCAGCCAACGTGCATGTCCATCCGTGAGCCTGGACAGCTCTGTATTGTCGCTGCACTCTGTCCAGGAGCCATGGTTGTATCTTTTTTTAGTGGAATGGGTCAAAAGAAGTGGGCTATTTACAAGCTAGAGCTCCTGACCCTGGGCCTGGAGTCTAGTGGCTCTGTGCCTCCTTCTCCTGCCCCTGCTGTGAGCAGCTCAGCCACACAGACAGGAGCTGCCTGTCACCACACGAGGGCTCCACTGACTCACAAAGGCCTATTCAGCCCTGCCAGCTGTGGAGAGAGTTCCCTTTTCCTCCAGGTCTAGGAAACCAGACACATTCCTGACTTGGAGGAGGGAGCAGCCTCCTCCACGGTGATCCCCTTCATGTCATCGGGCATCTGCCCATCAGCACGCCACACGTTCAGCTCCCCAAAGATGCCCGTCTCAATCATCTCCTCCTGCCAGGGGATGGAGCAGTTGCCGGTGGCAAATTCCTGGAAGAACTCTGTATCTGCTTTGTCAAAGACCACACCTTTGACTGTGGAAAAGGCCCCTACGTCCTGGATGTTCTTGGCATAGACAGTTCTGGAGTCTGGGATGAAGGGGGGCATCAGCATCCCTGTCGGAAGACAGAAAACACAGGTGTGAAATGGCTCAGGGAGCAGGGCCATGGTCTGGCTGCTGCCTCCCTGGAGGGGTGTCTGAGTTGCTAACAAAGAAATAAGCACACCTGAGAGGGTCCTGGGTGTCCCCCACAGAGCCCCGACATGAAGGACAGTGTGTTCTTGCCCGGCATGGTCTCCTCCCCTCCTCACCATTGACCCCATACTGGTGCCCTCAAGCCAGCCTCCCCTGGGCACCGCCGTATGCAGATCAGACACCTGGAACCCAACATGCTCAGAGATGAGCTTCTCATGCTTCCAAAGCCAGCTTTTCTCTCAAGCCTGCTCAGGAGCAATTCCCCAGTCACCAGACACAGAACTTTAGTCGCCCAGGACTGACCCTGCCCCCCTCTCACTTATCACGCGCTCCCTCCTTTCAGCTCATGGATGGGCTGCCAGACCATTGCAGTGACCTGAGGAGTAACTCTGTCTCAGCTACTCCAGGTTCTAATCGCTCAGAGCTGCATATCCTCACCCCAGCTTCGGCTGGACTGAAGCGCTCTCCTGGTGAGCCCCCTTCAGATCAGCCAGGACTCACCTCTGTTCTGACCCTTTCCTGCAAAGGAATTTCTTGACTACTCACTGTTCTGGAGTTCCTGCCATCTAGTCACATGTTTACATATTCTGGCTGTAAATTCTGGGCATGTGATTGTGTCCTACACTTTTCTCTCACAGACACATGCACACAAGCACACACATACACACATACATGCATGCACACAAGAGATACATACATGCACACACACATACACACAAGAGCCTGCACATGACACCTGATAACAAATGTTGGTTGAAGAAATGAATTTCTCCCAAACAGACAGATTGAGCTATCCTGCCTTGGTGTGGATCATGGGTTCTATGAAAGAACGGGGTATGGAAATGCAAAACAGCAGGCTTGGATCAAAGGCCAGCCAGCATATTCCCTAGATATTATATTCAACCTTTTCCAAACTCCAGCAGGTGTCCTAAAAGGCCTAACCTATTAACACACAGTCCTGGGTGCATGGGGGATGAATAGAGTACTAGAGGGTGGTAGTTTTCCTAGGGGGCTGAAGGATAGCTATTGGAAAAGCATCAACCAGTGTCCTTGCTCTGCTGACATTGAGCTAACCCTAGATGATGACTATAGGATGGGTCAGGCAAGCAAGAGTCATCTAACAGGCCTACCCCTCTCTCCCCCCACCCATATCCAAAGGCATGCCAACAGTACCAGCCTCGAGCTGTCTCCAATTAATGTCTTTAAAGAGGGGGTTAACTCGGAGCCCATCACAAGTCCCATCTCTAAACCCCAGGCGCTTCTCCGGGTCCTTCTCCAGCAGTGCCTCACAGAAGTCCTTGCTGGCCTGGCTGAACTTGTCAGTGTACTTGACCGCCTCCGAGAGGATCCTCTGCTTGAGCTCCTTGTTCTCCACCTGCACGGTGGAACACACATCATGTTAAACCCCTGCCAAGCCCACCAACATCGTCAGAGCTGGCCCCTCAGGCTCCAGGAGACTAGCCAGCCCCTGTTGGTGTCTGGGCAGGGCTAGCACTCCTCTCAGAAAGAGGCCGGCCCCTCCTTCACACCGAGGCAGAGGTGATGGGAACACCTGAGTGCATTCTCCTTCCCAGCATAGAATGGCTCAACATCCCCAGTGAAAGGAGTGGAACCCTAAAGGTACTGGTCAAAGTTGGGGTGCAGTACAGTTTAAGGAGTTCTGGTGGACATATTATATATAATCACTCATTAGCTACTCGAGAAAAAAAGAATGAGAAGGAACAATAAGTCAACTTCATAGAACTGGTAGAGAAGTCTTCTAACGATAGAAACATTTCATCTTGTTTTGAATCCGCTTTATCAAATATAAATACACATACACATACCATAAAATGATTATATTATATATCAAATATAAATACACATATCACATCTTCAGTGATGTGAGGGAAGGGTTTTGATCAACAGCTAGATACTGCACCACCATCACCCCAAAATTCCCCTGGGCCCTCTGCAGCCCACCTTCACCTTGACCTCAGGCAAACACAGACCCATTTCTTCTCACAATAGAATAGATATGCCTTTCCTAAAATTTTCTAGAAATGACACCATTTAATTAACAAGTTTGAGGCCCATTCATGCTGTGGGTGTATTTAGGTTCCTTCCCTCATGTCACTATGGAGACAGGAACTGAAAGACATGCTTGATTCACATTGGGCATATCATAAAAGCCATCACGTTTATTAACACACAGCAAATAGGGAGTGTGCTTGGGGCTGTGGGTCAGTGAGAGCTCTGAGATGGAGCTGGGAGCTCCTGTTGTGGCCTCACCATTGGTCTTACTCTGCTCTTCCAAACTGTTGGAAGTCAGGAGAGAGAACTGGTGACTAGAGGTCAAGGTGGAGCTGCAGAGACACAGAGTGGCTGGTATGTTAGTCATGGGAGCACTCTTTGCTCTTAGAAGTTGGGGGACAGGATTGGGGCCTGGGGCGGACACTCTAGGTCCAGGCAGAAGACAAGAATGGGCGTGACCTCCATACTGAATGAGGTGGGTGGGTGCAGGTACCATGTCTAAAGACTGCCATTCACACCAGGCTCCCAGAGGTGCCTCCTTTCTCACCCAGCCTCCACATTCCCGGTTTATGGAGATGCATGGGGCAGAGGAGTGTGGGAGGCCAGGGATCAGGCACAGCATGAAATGTCCACTTTCCTCCAAGACATTAAAAAAAAAAAAAAAAAAAAAAAAGCTGCTGTGCTATACCTGAAGCAGGTCATGTGGTTTCTTAGCATCATGGGAGGGGGGCTCTTAGTATTCGTCTACAGGGAAGAAGACAAAGGCCATCAAAGGAACCAGGCCAGCTCCAGGGGAGGGGTGCGAGTGCTGCTCACAGGGGTGGGCTTGGGAAAGCTCAGGCACCTCTCATCCTGAGCTACGTGAGACGGAGTCACTGTGTCTCCTCTCTCCTGCCCATGAAGGACCTTCCATGAGAAGCATCATGCTCAAGATTTAAGCAGCTCCCCCACCAGGTGAGCTGCAGCAACACCTCCTCCTAGGACACCCACCCAACAAGGAGAGTCAACCCCAGGACAGCTGCAGGGGGCCACCTCCTACCTTCTCTCCCCGGGCTCGGAAGGGTCCTCTGGCCGCAATCATCTCATATAGCGTGACCCCCAGGGCAAAGTAATCCACAGAAAAGTCGTACTCCTCACCCCGCAGAAGTTCTGGGGCCATGAAACCTGCCAGGCAAGAGCACAGTGTGGACTCAGAGACGCAGCTGCACAGAGCCAGTGGTGAGCGCAGAGCCGATGCTCCCATGGGCGCCTGGTGCCATCTGTGGTGGGGCTGCCCTGTGCACTGTGGGGTGCTGAGCAGCACCCCTGGACTTCATCCACTATTTAGCATGCCCTCCCCAGTTGTGACAACCAAAAATGTCTCCAGACATTGCAGAGTGCCTCCTAGGAGCAAATTGCCTCTGGTCGAAACCACTGCTCTATACACATGGTATGAAGCCTCATCCCTTAGATCCACCATGACAGTCAGAGCCATCGTTCTTGCCTCTCAGGCACCAGTGTGTGACCTCGGGAGCTATCTCTGTGTGTGGTTGTGAGGGTAGCAAAGGCAGGCACCTGAAAGGGCAAGTTCTTGGTTGTGAGCACATCCCCAGTAGGGGGTGTGCAGGAGGCAGCTGATCGATGTTTCTAACTCTCTGTCCCTCTCCCTTCGTCGATGTTTCTAACTCTCTGTCCCTCTCCCTTCTTCTCTGTAAAAAATCAATAAAATACATATATTTTTTAATCAATAAAATATATTTTAAAAAATAAAAACATAAATAAATTTAAAAAAGGGGAGATGTGCTTGGCAACACCAGCCAAGCCACTGTGACTGCAGAATCATTTCTTCCCAAAGAGGTCACAGGAGTCAAATTCCAAAGAACCTCCTGGTCCTGAATACACCTTTATAAGTTTCGCTTTTTGAGGAGTTACATGATAGTCCAGACTGCTCAGACTTTGTAAAAAAGATATGTTCAACCGATCACAACTTCTAGATTTAAAATGGGGTCCTAGAGACAGGCCAATCAGATACAGGGATGCTGTCATCTCCTGTGAGAAATAACTCAGTGGCACCTCTAGTCTGTTCCACCCAACTCAGTCCCAAACGATGCATCCTTTTCAATCCTTGGGGTCTTACGTGATGCCTGGGCAAAGAACCAGCAAATACCTGTTGTATGAATGAATAAATGAGCTAATGAATAAATACTACTTAGTTACTAATTCCTTCACATATTGACTCATCCCCCGCTCCTGGCTGAAAACTCATTGAGGACAGAGATCATGCCTTATAGCTCTTACAGTATCCCACTGGCAGCCACAGCCCTCTTCATGGTCAATTGCAGAGGCTCAGAGGCTCAGAGGCTCTAGCCCTCGGTGGGGCCTAGGGTTCGTGCAGAGGGGCTGAAGAAGAAGGATCCAGAAGGCAGCCCCCTGCGGCTTTGCTGGAGGCCCCAGCCTTATAAGTTACCCTAACATCAGTATCTGCTGCCACTGTTTAAGGGTTACACCCTTCACCTGAGCCCAGATGCTCAGAGCCATGCTTGAATGCACTGGTCAGGGGAGCCACCCCCCTGGAAAGCTTCATCCCTTCTGTTCAAAGAACAGCTGTAGCTCCGTGGCCACAGCAAAGCCTATGGGGCCCTCTGGTGGCTGGCAGGGTCCTCGCACTCGGCACAAACAAGGTCAGGCTATATCCTGGAGATCAAACTACTTCAAATCCTCGCTCTGGAGTTTTCAGGGCTTTCTCCTACTGATCTGAATCACCCTGAAATGCGTGAGTAGTGTTTCCACTCACTCGCTCATGCCAGGAGTGGAACGTCATAGACTTGGGCTGAGAATCTAGAAATTCAAGATTAGATCTTTCCCTAAATAAAGCCACAGATGAGGACAGACACTGTGGTGACAGGTACAAACACCAAAAAAAGCCCAAACCCCAAAGATCTGGAGGATTCTGTGACACAAACAAGAAAGCCATCAAAGGCGGAAGCTTTCAGTACAGAGGGCACAGCACATTAAAACCAATCATGGTTTTCCAGGCGGGAGGGCTCCTCCCTGCAGTGGGCCCGGGCTCCTGCTGCAGCGGTGCAGGCCCATTAGCCAGTCCTTCTGGTTTCACTCTTTGCTCTGGGGATGAGGGAGCCACTGCCATACAAACCCCCAGCCCTCACTGTGCCACCTACCCCAGGCCATGGGGACCCCCAGGGCTTCACCCCTCCTCTCAAGAGACTCTGCTCCCACCCTTGCTCTCAGGCTCTTACCTGGGGTCCCTGCATAGCCCTTGGTCTTGGTCTGCCCTTCCTTCAGCTCCACGGCCAGCCCAAGGTCGGAGATTCGGATATTCCCTGGAAAGCAAACATGGGCTGAGGTCATGTGTGGCGCCACAGAACAAAGGCACCTGGTGTTCCTGGAGCCCACAGGAGCCAAGAGCCAGCCTCTGCACACACGCACACACGCACACACGCACACAAATGCTCATATACATGTACACACATAAGTGTACCCACAAACACACGTGCTCACGCCTACTTACACATAAACACACACTCATGAACACGTGCAGACACGCACACATGCGCATTCACACACTCACATGCACACTGCAGGGGGGTGTCATGAGGCCTCAGCACCCAGGTGCCTCTGCCCCAGTTAAACAACAGAGGAATGGAAGGGTCCCATCAGGGCCTGCAACCTGAATTCGGAGCATAACCCACCCAAGTTCCGATTCCTCCTCTGTCTTCTCTTCCAAGCTCTGTAGCAACAGCCTTTGGGAATGCCCACGCATTTGTGTGACTCAGTGACAGAAAGGGAGGTAAATCTAAAAGGATATACGCAAAGGAAGCTTAAATCTCTATGTTTCTTTTCTGGTAAGAATCCCAATTTGGCAGAGAAGGCAGAAAGAAAAGAGTGTCAGAGTGAGAATTTGGCCATAAAATCTTCACTATTTACCAATAGTTCCACACACTATAGACACCCAGGCTTAGCTCCCTGTAACACTGGGTGCCGCAGTAGGCACCAAATTTCATCCAAGTCCACCCAAAAACTCCATCTGGAGACAATGCTATCCTATTGCAAAATAGCTAAAGGAACAAGCAGCAAACTTAAGAAATTTCTTGGTGCCACGTAAAGCTCTGACAAGCATATGTCAAAACCAGCCCCTGCCCCCTACAGATGACCCATTGGGCCACAGAGTCCAGCGGGGCGAGGGGAGGCCGGGAGAGCAGGCCGGGCAGGGAGGCTGCCTCACCTTCGTCATCCAGCAGCACGTTCTCAGGCTTGAGGTCTCGGTAGACGATGCCCCGCTGGTGCAGGTGCTCCAGGCCGCCGAGAATCTGGGCCGCGTAGAAGACGGCGCGAGGCTGCTGGAAGCCAGGGTTCTCCTCGTCCACATTGTAGATGTGGTACCTGGAGGCAGACTATGCGGAGGCCTGTGCTTTTCTGGCACGACCATAAGAGCATGAAGATGGTCGGGGTGGAAGTAAAATCTTGGGAAAACAGGGAGGGCCTCAGAACCCTATGCTGTGCCTGAAAAGCATCCGGTCATTTGGGGGCCTCAGTGTTTAGCCTGAAGAGCCTGTGACAACATCAAGACCCCTGGCAGCTGGTGCCCACGCCCTCAAGATCTTCCCCACAGGTGTGATGGGGGAAAGGACTCAGCAAAGTGCAGTCCTCTCTGGCCTCCCAGCCCTGGCCTGCAGGGCCATCCTACTACCACCAAGCGAACAAGTAAGGGCGGGGTGGGGGAGGGAGGGTTGTGCATGAGCAGCCTGAGTTACCCAAACATAAACAGTCAATACAGAGTCAGCTATTTCGCCCAACCCAGACATGCAGACTCCTGGCTGGGCCTGCACCAGGACCCTCTCCCAACCTCAATCCCCTGTAACTGTCCTTCCTCATGTTCTCCACTGCCACACTTTACACAGGAGCAAAACATAACAAATAAAAGGAAATAAATTACTTACACTAGATAGCAACCAGGGAGAATAGAGGCAGACCAGGAAAGATTAAAAAAAATAGAGAGAGAGAGAGAAACCCTAAACTCAGCCTGAGAATGAGACAGCTGGAATCCTAATATATAAAAACCTTGGGTCTGTCACATCCACAACAACCGGGAGGCTCAACCAACCGGAAATCAGTCCTGCAGTCAGCGATTGCTGTGGTGACCCAGCACTGACTGCTGAGGGGGTTGTGAATCAGGCCTGGAGAGAGGCCTGAAGAGAGAAGCAGGGTCTGATCGTAGCCTCTGTGACAGCTGTTGATCAGCACTTGCCTCTCTCTTTCTTTCCAGCCTGGTCAGCAGCAGCCTCTATTTCTCTCCAGGCCTCTACAGGGGCTGCTGATCAGCCCTGCCTTTCTGATCAGACCCTGTTGATAGACCCAGAGATGCTGATTAGGCATAGAAACTGACCAATCAGAGACAAATCTGGGTAAACTGTGAGGAGCCAATGGCTGCCTAAGAGGTGGAGCTTTTGAAGTGACTGGCATAGAAACCTACCAATCAGAACCAAATTAGCCAGCAGAGGAGGGCAGTTGGGAGCGAGATCAGGCTGGCAGAGGAGGACAGTTGCGGTGATCAGGCCAGCAGGGGAGAGCAGTTGGGGGTGAGATAAGGCCAGCAGGGGAGGGTCTTTGGAGGCGAGATCAGGCCAGAAGGGGAGGGCAGTTGGGGGCAACTAGGCCTGCAGGGGAGGGGAGTTTTGGAGAACCAGGCCTACAGGGGAGGGGAGTTGGGATGATCAGGCCAGCAGGGGAATGGTTAGGGGGAGATCAGGCCAGCAGGCAGAGACAGTTAGAGGCAGTTAGCCAGGCAGGCAGGCAAGCAGTGAGGAGCAAGTAGTCCCAGATTATGAGAGGAATGTCCCAGATTGGAGAGGGTGCAGGCCAGGCTGAGGGACACCCCCCACTCCCATGCAAGAATTTTGTGCACCGGTCCTTTAGTCTATAGATATAAAAGCTTAAGGGACCTTTATGACAGAATGACCAGAATGACTGGAATGACCAGTTTCTATGATGCACACTGACCACTAGGGGGCAGACACTCAACGAAGTAGCTGCCCTCATCCCACAGGCCCCAATCACCAACTAGCAGTCCCCAATTTACCTGCCACCCACCTGCTGTGGTAGCAGTTGGCATCTGCTGGCCAAACTCCTGGTCCCTACCCCCAGCTGGCAGGTTCCAATTGCCCTATTGGGGCTGGGCCCTGGGCTGGGACAGGGAACCAGGGTGGTGGCAGTGGATGCAGGTTGCAAGGGAAGGAAGAAGTGGGGATGCAGAGAAGCAGGAAACCGGATTGGTCCTGATCACTGGCCAGGCTTAGGGACCCCACCCATGCACGAATTTCGTGCACTGGGCTTTTAGTATAGTATAATGTTGTGTAGTATGGTACAGTGTAATGCAATGTACTAGAGTATAATATAATATAGTACAATCCAGTGCAGTATGGAATGGTATAATATTGTATAGTATAATATTGTATAGTATAGTATAGTATAGTATAGTATAGTATAGTATAGTATAGTATAGTATAATACAGTATAATACAGTATAATACAGTATAATACAGTATAATACAGTATAATACAGTATAATACAGTATAATACAGTATAATACAGTATAATACAGTATAATGTTGTACAGTATAGTATATAGTATAGTATAATTAATGTTGTAGAGTGAGTGTAGCATACTAAGGTGTAGTGTGGTGTAACATACAGAAGCATAATGTAGAATGTAGTACAGTACAGTATCATGATCATTTCTACTCTAAGTTATGTTATTTGTGCTTCCTAGGCCCCTCTGCTCCCCTTCTGTGTGACCTTACAGGAGTTACTTAGTCAAGGACTCAGAACCCTCATCAGGAAAATGGGGCCCAATAACTTACTTGGCAGAGTTCAGGGGAGGTGAAACTAGATGGGAGAATGCAAATAACAGCAACAGCCATGCCCCCTTGTGTGTTAGAACTGTGACCCTCTTAGTGCCTCACATACACCAGCCTCCTCTCCACAGCCCTTGAACACCGGTGACATCGTTATACCCATTTCACAGACCAGCACAGCGAAGCAAGAGCTGTCAGGTCACGCAGCTATCACGTGGGTCTTTCCCCCTCTGAGAGCCAGTGACCTGATTTCCCCTGGGAGCCCAGGACCGGGACGTCAGATCCCTGGCAAATCAGGCACCGTGCATTGCTGCCACCCGGTACTCTCTGCCGATGACAAGCAAAGCAATTGTTCCCAAAGTTGGCCACATCATGTTTTTAGTTCTGCCGCCCTCCCCAAGAGCGGGTCATTGATGAAGGTCATCTTCATTTACCATCCTTTTCCATACAAGGCCCTCAACTCCTCTGAGGTTCCCACTACCCCTTTACTCACCCGCCCCACTAGCACTCAGCCCACAGTTCCCCTTGCTGCCCACCCTACTAACCACCCCCCATCCAACAAACCGGAGGACTAGAGAGCCATAGCCCCAAACCCTCATGAGGTTCCTGTATTTCCCATGGGACTGAGGACACATCATTTTGAGTATCAGCAAGCGGAAGACGGAAAGGAGTGGATTTTGATGGGGCTTTTCCTCAGATGTCACCGTTGCCTTTGCAGTGAGAAGCAGCCCCATTGGCCCCAGAATTCCCCTCCCTAAGCTGAGCCACCCCAGCCCTCCCAGCCCCCAGCTCCCACACGGAAGAGAGGAACCCTACTTACCTTAAGTCGCCTCCATTCATGATGGTCATCACCAGGCAGAGATCGGTTTTGGTTTCAAATGCATAGGCCAGAGAGACTATGAACCTGCTGTGTACTTTCGACAGAATCTTCTTCTCTACCATAGCACCCTGAAAAGCAAGATGTCCAAAAAACAACCCGGGTTAGGCGGGGAAGTGACATCGCCATAAAAGACGAGGTTCTGCAAACCAGAAAGCACTCCGACAACATAGACGCAGAGTTGCAGATATATTTTAAAAGTGGTTTGCACAAAGCAATTGCAAATAAACGAATTCGGACTTGCAAATTAGTCACACACAGAGCACTTTCCTGCAGCCTCCAGCAAGGGGCACTCCAGACAATGCATCTTAAACTGGTCAGGTGGGGGGGTCCAGCTCTGGCTGCCTATTCATATTGCTGACTTTCCTTCCTGTCCTTTCTTTTAAATATTTGTACTTTTTTATTTCAGAGAGGAAGGAAGAGGAGGAGAGAGAGAGAAACATCAATTGTGAGAGAGGGAATCATGGATCAGCTGCCTCCTGCATGCCCCCAACTGGGGATTGAGCCTGCAGCCCAGGCATGTGCTCTGACCAGGAATTGAACCATGACCTCCTGGTTCACAGGTCGGCGTTCAACCACTGAGCCACGCCAGCCAGGCCCCGTCCTTTCTTATATCTAACCAGTCGTCCTGCCAAACTCTCAGTGCCTTTCCTCCTGGCCAGACTTCTGGCAGCGGACAGCTGAGGTCCCAGCCATCCTGCACCTCTGTTCATGTCCTACCTTTATTTTAAACCTCGTGGTGTCCATTGAACATGGTTTTTAAAGTTGTGTTTGGAATCCCTTTCGGAAGGAGGAGTGTGTGGTGTTGGGAGAGGCCCCTTTCTGTCCACATGGCCTGAGAAGACCTTGGGTTGACTTTACTTCGTGTTATGTTCAGGAGCGTCCTGACCTTGGGTGAGAAGAGCCTGTAGCGCTCTCATTGCTGGATTAAAATTACAGGCAGACAACCAAGAGGGAGGGATAACAGCTTCCCCCCAAAGTCTCACCATCCAGGAACCCTGGGAGGGGTGCTCTGTGGAGGCTGCTGAGCACCCCGAGAAGCTGCGTCCCCCCACCCCGCATTGGACTGTGCAGCGGGAAAGAAACAACGAACCGTGCAGGACAGAGTGTGGGGCTAAGGGATGAGTTCCTAAGACCTAAGCAGCTTTCGCTGATCCTGCCCAAATGGGCTCTGACTCCAGCTGGAGAGAGCGGACCCCACTCAGAGCCTCCCCGTCCCTCGGACACTGCCCTCGGGGAGCAGCCTGCCCCCAGCGTCACAGACAGGCTCAGCCTCACATAAAAGACAGCATCTGCCCTGCTCCCTTCCCCGTGCATGCGCCATCACAGCAAAAGCCGGGGCTTGGGAACGCTCCAGAGAGTCCGAGTACAGACTGGAGCACAGTCCCAGACGGCCTCCCCAATCCTGCCGCTGCGCGTGGTGGTGCTGGTGGAAACCGAGGGCGACAGGACGTGGTGCGTCACCCACACCAACAGATGCCACGGCCGCTCTCCAAGATGGGACGTCAGCCAAAACCGGTTTGGCTCCGTGGATAGAGCGTCGGCCTGCGGACTGAAAGGTCCCGGGTTCGATTCTGGTCAAGGGCATGTACCTTGGTTGTGGGCACATTCCCAGTTGGGGGTGTGCAAGAGGCAGCTGACCGATGTTTCTTTCTCATCGATGCTTCTAACTCTCTATCCCTCTCTCTTCCTCTCTGTGAAAAATCAATTAATATATATATTTTTATATATTAATATATATATAAATATTTTTTAATATTTATATATATTAAAAAAAAAAAAGAAGAAGGGATGTCAGCAGCCCGCTTGTGTGCAGAACGTGAGGCTGCTAGTTAAGAGCAGCTGGACAAACGGTGCCACAGGCCGGAGGACCGCAGGGGCCACACGCCGCCTCCTCTGCCACTCCCCTCCGGGCCAGGCGCACGGCCGCTGGCACCGGCCACTGGCACGGCACAGCTGGGGCTGACTCAGGTCAAGGAGACGCAGGTGAACTGGAAACCGGCCCATGGCTGCATGACGGGAGGGGCTCGGTGTCCAAACAGTAAGGTGAGCAGCCGCCTGAGCCCTTGAGGGCCCTCCCATCCCAGGGACCCCATCCGCCCATCTGCTAGACACGAGAGGTGCCCTCCACCATGCCTGGCCACGCTGCCCACCTGGTACCCCTTCCTCTTCTTCAGCCTCTTCTTGTTCAGCCTCTTGCACGCGTACATCTTGCCCGTCGCCTTCATCTGGCAGGCCGACACCTCCCCGAAGCCCCCTTTCCCCAGCACCCGGAAATCCAGGAACCAGTCCTCGCCCGTGGGCTGCGCCTCCAGCCACTTCCACTGCAGGAACCGCTGGAAGTGCAGGCTGCCCAGGAACTCCTGGAACGGGGCCTGGCTCAGGTGGGCCAGCGTGGCCCGCAGCAGGGGCTGGAAGAGCCCGTCCCCGCTCACCGCCGGCCCCTCCCGGGCCTTGGCCGCCGTCCCTTCGTCCAGGAAGCCGCAGAAGAGCTTGGCCTGGGGGTCCAGGTACTCCGCCAGGATGGCCCGGGCCTTCTGCGGCCGCAGGTCACCGTCGATCGTGTCGTAATCCTCGATGTCCTTCCAGAGCTCCAGGGCCGGCACGTGCCTCCCGTCGGCCTTCAGGAACTGCTGGAAGAGCCGCTTGCCGATGGGCTGCTCCGAGCACACGCTCTGGAACCGCAGGTCCAGGCTGGCCCCGAGGGCCTGGCACTTGGAGAGCGGGGGCAGCTTGAGCTTGGCCCGGTACTTTTTGTCCCGGGAGGGCGGGCCGCTGCTGCCATCGAAGCTGCCCCGGGCGGTGATGAAGGCAGAGTTGGCCACCACCGTCTCCAAGGACCCGAAATCCATGCTGGCGGCGCCCGCCTCCTGCCACTCAGGCGCCGGGAGCCATGAGCGAGGCCTCGGCGCCGATGCCCAGAGCGGGCCTGACCCGCTGCTTTTGGCCTGTGCCCGGTCCCGGCTGCAGGGACAGGAGGTGTCCCGGTACAGGGATGACTGGGGGCCACACCAGGAGCCCCCGGGAGCCCAGCTGACACAGCTCAGGCTAAATCCCAGCCCGGGGTTATGGGGGACACTCTTGGGGTGGGGCGGCAAGCAGGTGCCAGAAAAAGACAATCCCCTAAGCCGCTCCCGGGAAGATTAGACGGCCGGCCGGCCGGGCTCCTTCCGCAGAAGCCAGCTGTCTTGGCAAACGCCCGTCTTTCTAAGCCGCCCCTGCAGCCCTCTGGCCTCAGCAGCCAGGAGGCCGCCCATTGGTTTCCTTGATGAGACAGGAGGCCGGACTCAAGGGAGAGGGGCCCCAGGAGAAACTTTAATGTAGGAGGATGCCTGGTTTCCTTCCTGGGCAGATTTTATTTCTATCTTAAAGAAAAATAGCCAGGGAGAAGAAAACCTGCTGAAGTGGGAATTGAGAGAAAGAGAGAGAGAGAGAGAGAGAGAGAGAGAGAGAGAGAGAGAGAGGCAAAAAAAGCAAAACCCACAGTGCACAGCATTCTGGGTATCCCCCAGAGACCACTGGCCCTGAGGAACCGGCCAGTCTGAGGGCTGGCTTGTCCTGTCCTGACCTGAGCCTGAGAGGGCGGTGCTCCCGTGTCACGTTGTTGGCTCAGACATAGATACCCCGGCACTTGCTGAGAGAACAGGTCTACATCAGTTCCTTCCCCTTGCTTGGGGTTGCCTGGAAAACCAAAATGCCAAGAGGAGTATGGAATTTCCTCAAAAAACTGAGAATGGAACTCTCACTCCTAGGAGTATATCCTAAGAAGCTATAATAGAAACACCAATCAAAAAGGATATATGGCCGATGCTGGTTTGGCTCAGTGGTAGAGTGTCGGTCTGCGGACCGAAAGGTCCAGGTTTGATTCTGGTCAGGGGCATGTACGTTGGTTGCGGGCACATACCCAGTAGGGGGTGTGCAAGAGGCAGCTGGTCAATGTTTATCTCTCATCAACGTTTCTAGTTCTCTATCTCTCTCCCTTTCTCTCTGTAAAAAATCAATAATATATATATATATATTTTAAAAAGGATATATGCACCCCTATGTTCATAGCAGCACAATATACAATAGCTAGGATTTGGAAACAGCCTAGTTGCCCATCGGCAGATGATTGGATCAAAAAACTATGGTACATCTACACAATGGAATACTATGCTGCCATAAAAAAGAAGGGATTCTTATCATTTGCAGCAACCTGGATGGAATTGGAGAACATCATGCTGAGTGAAATAAGTCAGTCAATGAAAGAGAAACACCACATGACCTCACTCATTTATGGATAATAAAGAACATTATAAACTGATGAACCAAAAGATAGATACAGAAACAGTAAAGCAACAAACAGACTGTCAAATTACAGCAGGGAGGGGAGGGAGATCTGGGGGAGATAATAGATCAACCAAAGGACTTGTATACATGCATATAAGTACAACCAATGGACACAAAACTCTGGGGAGGAAGGGCATGTATGGGAGTGGGGTGGGGGGTTGGCAAGCTATGTACACATATAATAAAAAAAAAATGCCAAGAGGAGCTTTCAGGTGAGATTAGGACAAGGAAACAGAAGAGGTGTGCACGTGCACACACACACCAGCAAGCTACACCCAGTGCTGAGGCCCCACACAGGAGTGAGAGAGGCCAAGGACACACCTGGGGCTCACCTGAGGGATACCTAGGACACACCTGGCATTCACCTAGGGCACATCGGGGGCACACCTGTGACACACCTGACAGGCACCTTGGGCACACCTGGGACACATCTAGGGAGGCCAGGACCAACAAAAATGTTGGCTTCATAATGCTGCAGCCTTATCTGTCTATTCTACCACACAGTGGGTGCTCAGCAAATGTTTGGGGAAAAGTGTCAAGGAAGTGAGGAGGAGGCTGGTTGTAGTTTAAAGAGGAGAGGAAATGAAGGGTTTCAGAGATGAAGAAAGCCATAGCCAGGTGAGCTGGGGACCTCCCAGTCCACCCGCCTGTGCATGATGGGAGAAGAGTGTCCCTGAGGGCAGTGAGATTCTGCCAGAGGGTGTGGGGCAGGCGGGGCTCTCTGAGGCAGCTGGAGAGATGGAAATGAGGACTCGGTGGCTGTGCAGCCAATCTTCCTGCCTCCCTGCCTCCCAACCAAGCGGGTGGTGGATCCAGCCCAGCCACTTAGGATTATGTGAACCTTGGGACAATCGCTCTAACCTCGTCCTGACTACCCCATCAGGGTCCAAATGGGACATGCATCCCCTGCCAGCATTCCCCCTGTGTCCTGGGTCAGGGCTTCCACACAGCACCAGGCAAACTGCCTGGGTAACTTGTGAAATAAAGATTCTGCCTCAGTGGCCTGGGGCCAGTCTGCACGGCTCCCACTGGTGCTACCACTGCCCATCAGGACCCACCATGAGAAGCCAGGCCCATCCGGCTAATCCCGAGCAACAATCTGGGGAAGGAGAAGCAGCAGTTAAACAAAGCTTAATGTTTCTCTTGAACTTGGCTCTCTAAGAGGGGTCCAGTATGAGGCATTTCCCGAACTGGTGTGATTCTGGAACCTCCCTCTTTATTTAAATTGCACTTCTTATTTGACAATAATTGTAGATTCATATGTAGTTAGAAGAAAGGATCAAGAGAGATCCCCTGCTGAAACCGGTTTGGCTCAATGGATAGAGCGTCGGCTTGGGGACTGAAGGGTCCCGGGTTCGATTCCGGTCAAGGGCATGTACCTTGGTTGCGGGCATATCCCCAGCAGGGGATGTGCAAGAGGCAGCTGATCGATGACTCTCTCTCATCGATGTTTCTAACTCTTATCTCTCTCCCTTCCTCTCTGTACAAAATCAATAAAATATATTTTAAAGAAAGAGAGAGAGAAAGAGAGAGAGAGAGAGAGAGAGAGAGAGAGAGCGAGAGATCCCCTGATTGGATTAACAATTCTCAGGGGGAAAAGGTTCTGAAGGGTGCAGGAAGAGATTGGACAAAAATCTTACACCTATGGATGAAAATAGGGGTGGGGATAAGGGCATGAGGTAGAGTTGGGAATCAGGTGGAAGGGAGCTATGGGGGGGGGGTGGGGAGGGAGGAAATAGGAACACCTATAATAATCTGAACAATAAAGATTTATTATTTTTTTAAGAGAGAGAGAGAGAGAGAGAAAGAGAGAGAGAGAGAGAGAGATCCGCTGTACCCTTCCCTCGGTTTCTCCCAACGGTAACATCTCCCCAAATCAAAGCACAGGATCACAGCCAGGATACTGATCCTGACACAGGCACCACAGAACACTTCGTCTCCACAAGGATCCCCATGTGCCCATGTGTAGACACACACACCCTCCTTCCCCCGCCCACACTCTCCTGAACCTCTGGCAACCACTCATCTGTTCTCCATCATTTCAAGAACGTTCCATAAATGGAATCATCTAGTACATAACCTTCAGAGGTTGGCTCTTTATACTCAGCATAATCCTCTGGAGATTCACCCAGTTTGTTGTAAGCACAAACAGTGTTCTTGCTCAATTCTGTGGTGCCGATGGACCACCATTGGTCTGACCATTCACTTTTGAAGGGCATCTGGGTTGTTTCAGTTCAGGGCTAACATGAATAAAGCAGCTCTAAGCATTCATGTACATATTTTTGTGTAAATTTCCCTTTCTCTGAGATTAATGCCCAAGAGTGCAGTTCTTGAGTTATATGGTAACTAATTGTATGTTTGGTTTTTCTAAGAAACAGGTAAACTTTTTTCAGATTGGCTGTACCATTTTACATTCCTACCAACTACATGAGTTATACAGCTTCTCAGCATCCTCCCCAGCTTTCGGTGTTGTCACTATTTTTTATAATAGTTATAAATAGTTACTCTGATAGGCATGTAGTGGTATTTCATTGTGGTTTTAATATGCATTTCCCTCGTGGCCAGTAATATTGAACATCTTTCCATGTGTTTACTTGCCATCTGTTTGGTGAGCTGTCTCTTCATGTCGTTTGACCATGTTCTAACCGAATTGTTTGCTTGTTTACTGTTGAGTTTTGAGTGTTGTTTATCTATCTTAGAAACTTTGTTGGACTTGCGGTTTTCAAATGCTTCTTTCCAATTTTTGCTTGTATTTTCATTCACTTTACAAGGGCTTTCATAGAACAAAAGCTTTCTTTATGTTGTTGAAGTGCAATTTATTTTTCCTTTTCTGAATTGTGCTTTTGGTGTCAAGTCTAAGAACGCTTTATGTTTCTTTTTCCATCTTCTCCCAAATTCAACCTTCCCACTCAAAAAGTTTTATACTTTTACTTTTACTTTTAAATCTATGATCAATTTTAAGTTAATTCTTCTACAACATGTGAGACTTCGGTTAAGGGTCATTTTTTTGCCAGTAGTTGTTCAATTGCTCCTGTTGAAAAGGTTGTCTCTGCCTCATTGAATTGTTTGTGCAGCTCAAAAATCAGTTGGGCATATTAGTGTGGTTCTGTTTCTGGGCTTCCTATTCTGTTCCATGGGTCTCCATGTCTATCCGTCCACCAATACCGCACCATCTTGATTGCTGTGGCTATTTCTGTCTATATTTATGAGGAATATTGTTCTGTAATTTTATATTTTTGTGCTGTTTTTATCTGATTTTGGCATAAGAGTAATACATGTCTTATAAATCAATTGGGAAATGTTTCCTTCTCTTCTATTTTCTAGAAGACATGGTATATAACTTGTAATTCTTCATTAAATGTTTGGTAGAATTTTTCAGTGAATTGGGACATTTTAAATTATGAAATCAAGTTCCTTGCTAGTTATATGGCTATTCAAATGATCTATTTCAAATTGAATGAGTTATGTGTATTGAAGACGGTCCATTTCATCTAAGTTGTCGAGTTTATAATTGTAGAGTTGT